GGCAGGGAAAGGGCCTGTGACGCTATACTGAAGTCTGTTTTTATAGGTTACTTTGAACCACATCTAATGATAAAGGAAGAAGATGCATCATCTAAAAATATAACTTAAATTTTGATGCAGTGAAGAGTAAGTGGCTTGAGTCATATAAAAGTGTTAGAAAATTCCTACAATATGCTTCCAACCACTACTATGGTCTTCACAGGCAGTGAAAACTTAAAACTCCATTATTCTTTCTTTATAACCCCCCCCCCCCAGTGACACAAAACTGTCACAAAAGGGTTCCTTTGGAAATTACATTTTCTATCTGTGTTCTTAGACCAAAAAAGTGATTTACTTTGTATTGTCAAAACAAAATCTGAACATTTGAACAAACAATAAAAGCATAAAATTTTCTGCATAGCTCAGTGAAAACAGTCCCATGGCAAATTTAAAAAAAGGAAAAAAGTCAAACGAAAATGTATAATGACTGAAAAATTACTTTTATACACTGGACTCTCAATGTCCGAATAACCATTGCATAAAACAACCAACCTCCTTATTCCCAACCCGCCAATCTATGTCCACTTAGAACTTGTCTGAATGTTGTGCCCCCTGCTTTGGCCATGATTATCCATGCATTTTTGCCCTCCAGACTTGATTATTGCTATTCATATCTAGAAAAGAAGCCATATGCCTTGCAAGTTCCAATTGGTATTAGGGATGTATGCGACTAGTTGAGTAGCTGACTACCTGATAAGCCTAGGCTTATCGAGTAGTAAAGTCACTACTCGACAACTAACTCCCCTCCCCCCTTGGCTGCCTCTGTATTAGAGGCAGCAAGTCCGGGAGCAGGCTTATTGGGCAGTTGAGTTAGACTCTATGTCAGCCGGTTCCCCCAGTACCATATCTGTGGCCTCTCATTGACCAGTCAATGGAAATTCCATTGACTACTTTATTAGCTAATTAAATGCTACTTAACATCTCTAATTAGTATAAAATGCAGCAGCCCTTATAGTTAATTCCACAAACTGCTGTTAGCACACCACTGTGCTCTGTTTTTTTGCATTAACTCCCCAATCCAACTGGACTTACAGAATCCAATTCAAGTTCTCTGTCCAGAACCCCCACAATCATCGCCTGTTGGACCCTATTAGCTCTCCCTCTGCAACCATGACCTTCCACAAGAGCTATGTTCATTAGAACCATGAATCAGTCAACCACCAGGGGGAGATTTATGAGATAACTTGTAGAGAATCTGATCCTACATTATGGAATTCCTGAAACATATTAATGACCCTGGGCCTCGCTACATTCAGAACTTAAAAAAATATATATAATTTCTGCAGTGTAGATTTCCTTCAATAAATTTTACAAAATACTCAACACAAATAAATTTGCACATATACATAGCACATTTCTCTTGAACATAAAAACATAAAAAGTCCAACTAAATGCTAGTCAAACTATTCTTCCATCGGACTGGGAAGGAAGAAACATATTGTTATGTATATT